CAGACTAAACAACATGATGACATTTACAGAATATCACAACTGCACAACAGTTTTCCTGCATGTGAGGTCACATGCTGTCCACAAAGCAGTTTTAAGCATATTTAAAGAACTGAAACCATAGCATGTATGTTCTCTGACCACAGAACAATCACATTAAAAACTGGGATTTAAAAAAACATCCCCAAATATTTAAAAAGTAAATGTTGTTCTAAGAAGTCTAGACTATACACCATATTAAGAGTAGGGCTACTTTTTGTTTGTTTCAAGACAGGGTTTCTCTGTGTAGCCCTGGCTGTCCTGGAACTCACTCTGTAGCCCAGGCTGCTCTTGAACTCACAGAGATCTGCCTACCTCTGCCTCCCAAGTGCTGGGACTAAAGGAGTGTGCCACCACTGCCCAGCCAAGTATTGTTAAATACTTAACAATATTTTTTTTAAGATTTATTTTAGGTAGGAGTGTGTGAGTGTGTGTGTGCACCCACACAGTTAAGGTGCCTGCAGAGGCCAAGAGAAGGTATCAGATCTGGAGTTGGAATTGGAGGTAGGTGGTGAGTGCAGGACCTCTGCAAGAGGGGCAAGCACTCTTAACTACTGAGCCATCTCTCCAGCCCCTACTCAAGAATTTTCACATGGGATCTGCAATGCTAGGTGATCCTAAGGTGACCAGCTGGACAAACAAGAATGCCATGCACAGAGACAGACGCAAGCAGACGCGGCTTTGGCTGGGAACAGGCATGGGGACATGCGACAGTACTTTCTAGGCTCTAAAAGTACTTGTTTCACCTGCTGCAGTTTCTTCCTTTCTTTTCTAAATAACCTATTAAAGTGAGTGTGTTACTGGGTGTGTACTTGTGTGTGTGCAGGTGTGCCTTGGTGTATGTATGGAGGTCAGTGAACAGCTTTCTCTATCCACCATGGGTTCCATGGACAGAACTCAAGGTGTCAGGCTGACAGGTGCCTTTACCAACTGAGCCATCTCTGTGGCCCTGGATATGGTTTCCGACTGCAGGGGTCAGGCAGTTAACCCAGCTTCCCTCACTGACTGCAAGTTCCCTCTTGTCTTGTAGTACAACTTCTGCATCCTGACCCTTGCTTCCCACTGACCAGGACTTCTTCTTTTCTCAGTAGGGTCAGCATGGGATATGCCATTCATACTTGAAGCTGCTTTACCTCCTCTTCCCTCTTGGCTTTCTTGTTTAAGAAACAAGAAACATTTATTTTTGTTTTTGAGAGTTTCATACATGAGTACTGCATGTACAACATTTCTACCCCATCTTCTCCCCACTCCAGCTTCTTCCACACCTCCCCACCCTCTCTCAAATTCGTAACCTCTTCAATTATTACTGTTACATAGCTTTTCTTTTTAAATTTTTTTTGTGTGAATGATGTTTTACCTGCATGTATATGTGTGCCTGGTGCCCATGGAAGCTAAAAGAGGGTATCAGATCCCCTAGAACTGGAGGTACAGACTGTGAGTTGCCATGTGGGTGCTTGCACAAGAGCAGAAAGTGCCCTTAACCACTGAACCTCTCCAGCCCCACATATACCTTTTCTTGAGACAAGATCTTATTCTGTAGTTGATGCTGTCCCGGAATCCCAGGGTAGACCACTGTGGCTTAAATGTGTGATGACCTTTCTACTCTGCCTCCCAAGGGCTGGAATTACATGCCTGCACCACCATACCTGCCTTGGAACTTCTTTTCAGCTCACTGTTCAATTTTACTTCATTTTGTAGCAGCACAAGGGATTGAATGCAGGGCCTCACACATGCTAGCAAAGTCCTCTACCACTGAGCTACAAGCAAGACCCTGCGTCTTCAAGGTTAGCACCAGGCCTTCAAACAGCATTGGACTTGGCCTACGTGCACCAGCTCCTATCCGCACTCTGACTCGCAGACTCTGCACATGTGGGCTGTACAGCTGCAGCCCTATTATCTAGTCTGGATTTCTTCCAGCTGGGGACAGTTCCAGCCAACTCTCAGCAAGTTTGGACAGTAAAAACGCTAGGTTTTTGAGGTTCTTTCGTGCACCCAAGTACCAGTTAGGAACAACTGAACCTTCAGCTCAGCAAAAGCACCTCCCCTCAGAAAAAGCCCACAGAGTGACAGTCATCAGCAAATAGGTTGTAATACAAAGTCTTAAGGATGGATGAGCTTGACAAGAACACTATGATACAGGAGACTATAATCTGTGTCTACTGAAATTCAATGTATGCATGTGCCTACATTTCTGAGGTAGGGAAGGTCTATATTTGGTCACATTCTCAAATAAGCTGCTAAGTCTAAAAAGGTTAAAAAGCTATGGGAGAGGGAGAAGCTGAAATGTGACCCAGAGAGCATTATTTATAAAAGTGTCCACTGTCTGGGGATTAGAGTGGTGGGAGAGGGCATGGAACGTGTTAGCATCTCATTTCTAGTTTACTGTGTGAGTCACAGCCATCACAACACACATGACTTTGATTTAGAACTGGACAATGTATTCCTAAGATGTGCTGACTCAGACATCATTACTTCTAGGGTTCTGCAAACTCTATGACAGCCAGCATTTTTAGGCCTAACTAGGGACTTCTACATTCCCAGTCAAAATGTGATTTTTCTCCTCCCCTCTTCCCACCATAAGTAAAGGCACAATTTCTGCAGCCGCCGTTTTTCTCTGGAGCCACCCAAACCTGACAATTAGAGATCTCTTTGGAAGTATATGATCATGACTGCTCATGACTGCTGCATATTATCAGCATTTCAGTCATGAAAGGCAAAAAAAGAAAAGAAAAATTTTGAAGATACACAGGATTTTGTTTGAAATTCAGCTAGCTAGTAGGACAGACAATGAAACTCAAATTCAAAAACGAGGCTGGGGTCAGCAAGATGGTTCACGAGTTTCAAACGGCTAGCAGTACAAACCTGGCAAGCTGAGTCTGACTCCTGGAACCCACGTAAAAGTGAAAGGAGAGAATTTTCTCCACAGAACTGTCCTCTGACTTCCACATGCATGTCATAGCACACACAGTAAATGTACAATAACAAACAAAAATCCAAACACATTAGTATTGCATACATTATTACAAAGGGATCAATAATGGAATTCATCTTTTCTTTCTTAACTCTCCGCCCCCAGGATGCATTAAGAAACCCTTTCAAAAGCCACAGTGTGTATAAAACACATTCTCGAGTCACATGGATTCAAACCACAGCATTCTTCCCAACTACCCCTCAAGAAAGCCAAGAGTAATCTAGCTAAGACCACTTGCACATGTGAAACTGTAGTGACTACTGTCCTGGGACTCTGGAAATATTGTTGACACACGTATCTTGGTTTACAGAAGTCCCTTTGAGTCCTGTGCACAGGAGAAAGCTACTGGTTACGGCCCATTACAAAAAGACAGTCAGGGATTGCCGAGTGGGAGGCTAGACTAATGTTGGCTTGCTTTAGCAAACTGCAGTTCAAAACTTCAATATATGAAATAATAAAACATTTTAGAAACTTAAAAGGCAGTTCATAAAACACATGCCAAGAGTTGGGCATTGGTGGCGCACACCTTTAATACCAGCACTTGAGAGGCAGATCTGTGTGAGCTCAAGGCCAGCCTCATCTACAAAGCAAGGTCAGGACAGCCAAGAGAAACACAGAGAAACCGTGTCTTGAAAAAACAAACAAACAAACAAACAAATCCATACAAACAGCTAATAAGCTGAAAATGTTCAATTATATTAATCAGTGATGCCTATTAGAATTAGCAAAAATCTACATCACCTCCATTATGTTGGTTTTCAAAAGTTTCTGCAGTATACATGTGTGTTCAGCAACATATATCAAGCACCTTAAAAAATATCTCAAAGACTTGGACCTGTTTAATCTCACCTTTATTAATCTAACCTTAATGAAAACCCTAAAATATATAACCTAACTTCAGTACCCAGCACCTCTTCTATACAGTGAGTTAAAGGCCAGCTTGAGCCATAGGAGACTCTGACCAAATCCAACCCCAACCTGGATGTCAAAAAAAAACAAACAAAAAAAAAGTGTAAATTTCATGTTTATCTTACCCAATAAAAACTTTCAGCAAAAATATAAAATGCTGATTTGAAACCAGACCTAACCACCAATGTATTTATTCATATTAGTTCAAGTCTTTAGCACTTTCTGAAACAACATTCTGTAAAGCTGCAACCCTGTTTATTTTTGTTGTATGTATTTAAGTGTTTTGCCTGCATGGATATAGTGCACCATGTGTACAGAGTACCCTTGGAGGCCATAAATGGCATCTGATGCCCTGGAACAGAACTTAGAGGCAGTTGTGAGCTGCCAGGTGGCAGCCTGTGCTCTTAACTCCCGAGACATCTCGCCACGACAAAATGTATTTATTTTTAATGTGTGTGTGTGACTATACATGTTGGGGGAACTGCATGTCCACATGTGTGTGAAGGTGGACATCACACCTAGCTTTTCTGTGGGTTCTGGGGACTGAACCCAGGACCTTCTCTATCTGAGTAACAAGCTTTACTGATTGAGTCATCTCCCCAGGCCTTACTAGTAACTTTGAACACAGCGCTAGCATATCTAATCTTTCTTCTCATATAGCTAACATCTGGCCTGCAGGGGGGTCAAGAAATCACATCTCATCTAAACAAAGCCTTAAAAGTAAAGTGCTCCTCATACTTAAGGAAAGGAAAAAGAAGCCAGAAGTAAGGTCACTAACAATTCTGGTGTTTGTGCGAATTTGGGGTAATCAGCTATGGGAACAGATGTCAGCATGCAAATGGAAGTCAGAGGACAACATCCTACAAACTGAGCAGAGAACAGGGCAGAACTGTCTCCACAGCTCTTTGAAAGAAGGGTTTTGCTGACATTGCAGACTTCTGATGATAGAGCATTCAACAAGTTACAACAATGGTAATTTAAAATAATTTTCTGGTCATAAAAAGTAAGAAACAAAACAAGAAAAATCTACTCAAAACCAAATTCCAGGTCTAGTCTCCTTAGTTACTTTGGGAGTCTCACTTACCCTTCTGGTGTTTTCAAGGATCTTGGGGTCAGGTTTTCCGTAGTTAGGGGGATTGGCATATGGGTCATATCCAAGCTTGGCAAGCATGGGTGCAATCACTGCCATGTCTTGTAGAACATCTGGGGGTATCTTCCCAACCCACTTTGATAGAGCCCCCACATTGACAGGATTGATGACTTCGTCTGTTGATCTTTCCACTCTGAAAACAACAACATGAACAATAACTTACTTCAAATCTAAAGAAAACCAAAACATGGTGGCAGGCACCTATAATCTTAGCACTCCAAAAGCAGAGGCAGGAGGATCAGGAGTTCCAAGATAACCCTGTGTACAAGAGCAAGTCAGAGGTCAGCCTGACTTCATAAGACTCTCATCTCAAAAACAGTTAAACAATTGTAAATTCTCTTTGACAGCTTTAAATTCTTTAACTGTCTGAGCTGCTAAGATGGCTAAAAGCACTTAATGGAAAAGATGGCTGACTCTCAAAACTTGTCTTCTGACCCATACAGTGTGTTGATATACTGTCTCCCTCTCTCTCTCTCTCCACTTTCTCCCTCCACCAAATATCTCTATCTCTGTGTGTATATGTTCTCTGAGCTAAACAATGTGCCCATATTCACTCACTCACACACTCTCTCTACCACACACACACACACACAGAGAGAGAGAGAGAGAGAGAGAGAGAGAGAGAGAGAGTCACACCACACACATGGAAATAAATAAAATCATAATTGTCTGCATTATATTATAAAGCAATTAAAAAGGTTAAATGGATGTTGTCATGATTCACTAGAATAGATGGTATGGGAACTAGGTATGGTGGTATACACCTTTAATCCCAGCACTTGGAAGACAGAAACAACAGGACTTCTTTATGTTCAAAACCAGTTTGGTCTATATAGTGAGTTCAAAGTCAGCCAAGGCTAATTAGTGAGACCTGTCTCAAGAAAAAAGAATGGACAATACGGGCGGGTGAAGTGGTTTAGTCTTTCCACTTGCCAACAAGCCTATCAACCTGAGTTTGATCCCCAGGACCAACGGGGTGAAAGGGGAGAACTCACTCCCACTGGTTGCCCACACACACACACACACACACACACACACACACACACACACACACACACACCTAAACATAATAAAAATTTAAAAGAATGGACAGCAGAAGAGTGTCTCCTTCACTTCTAGAAAGTAGCCAACATGTAGTCTTGATATGTTCTAGGGCTTACAGGGATCATTCTGGCACTCTCCATCTCCCTGGAACCTTAAAACACAGCTTGACACACTGGTGTGCTTCAAAAACCCACATGAACCAGCCATCACCCCCATTAGCCTCCGCTCAGCACCCCTGTGATAGCTGCTCCATCTCAAGAAATGGGATCAAACTGGAGGGCAGTGGCACACACCTTATTCCCAGTACTCAAGAGGCAGAGCCAGGTGGATCTCTGTGAGTTCGAGGCCAACGTGGGTCTACAGAGCAAGATCCAGGACAGGCACCAAAACTACACAGAGAAACCCTGTCTCAAAAAACCAAACCAAAACAAACCAACCAACAACAAGAAAAACCAAAAAGAAATGGGATCAAGGCCAAAGCCCTGAATGACTGTGTTGAGTAACTAAACACCACAGTCAGACTGTCTGTCAAACCACAGCTGAATTACAGTATGCGGCAACTACTACCAGAATTCAAAACCTCCATATTACAGCATCAGTGTTGGAGTGGACATGCCAAGAGGAATGAATGAAATTCAGTAAACCGAAGCCAGATTTTCACAGGGAAATACACAATGAAATGCCACCAGAAGCCATATTTTTAAAGGCTAATATTAAAAAAAGTTCAGGTTTTCTCTTTGGGAAAGATGGTTTTAAAATGCACAAGACCAATGAGATAGCTGAGCCAAGAAAGGCACTGGCTGCAAAGCCCGATGACTCAAGTTCCATCCCGAGAACCTACATGGTAGAAAAGTAACTTCTACAATTGTCCTCTGAGTTCCACATATACACACCACGTCATGTGTATAGACAGACAGAAACACACAGACACACAAATACATGTAATTTTAATAATTCTAACAAATGTATTTTTAAATGTATATACAACAGAAATTCAGGTGTTATGGGACTGGAGACATGGCTCAGTAGCTAAGAACACTTGCTGCTCTTATTGTGGACCAGAGTTCAGATCCTAGCACACACTTTGGGTGGCTCATGACTGCCTGTCACTCCAGCTCAGATGATCCAACACCCTCTTCTGGCCTGGGTGGGCACCCACAGAGCACATGGGTGTACACAAAGACACACACATATGCACAGATAAAATCTTTTTTAAATGTGTTATATTGTAGGCTAGAATGATGGCTCAGTAGTTAGGAGCACATGTTCTTGCAAAGGAGCAAGATTCAGCTCCCAGCATCCAAACGGCAGCTCACAACTATCTGTAACTCCACTTTCCGGGGGATGTCTTATTCTGACCTCCACAGGCACCAGGCATGCAGGTGACCCACATACATGCAGACAAATCGCATACACATAAAACAAAATATGTAAATATGAAAATAAAAAATTGCTATACATGGATAATATATCTATAACATAACTGCTTAACACATGTGGGCAATGTACACACAAAGAACCATGCACACATGCTAACAAATAGAGCAGTGGGATAAAGGTCATTAAGCTTTATAACTAATATATGAAAAAGCAATCAAAATTAGATTGTAAAAAGACACAAAATACAGCAAACTGATTAATCTAGGCATGAAAGATCAACATCATGCTAACATCATGGAAGAAAGAGAACCACACACTAATGCTAACATTGCCAAATCAGACTGTGGGCCTGCCTAAGCCTCCAGATTCAGCTGCCAACTGGTAAGCAGTATAGAACTGAGAAGAATGTGTGGGACAATCAGCATGC